GGCAACCAGTTGTTCGCGCAATCTTGCGCAATCTCGCGCAACATGGGAGTTTTCCAGGCATGCATTGAAGACCACGTTTGGCGCATTGTTTTGCCATAGTGCGAGGATATAGAGACTCATTCTAATTAAACAGCATCAAAGCAAAAGTTGCTATTTGAGAAACAGTGTAAATTTATCAATCTAGCTTTGTCCAAAAATGTCATTTTTGGGACACGCTTTCCTCCGCCTGCTTGATGCACAACCTGACGCAATGTGTTTTCCAATCATTTCCTCGGGCGAGAGGTTTCGTTGCGGTTTCAGCCGCTTGGCGAGATTGCGCAAGATTGCGCGGAAAACTGGTCGCCCGGCGCTTTTTTTGGTTGCCCGGCGCAATCTTGCGCGACCTTTGCCTGTGGAAAGTTGCTGTTGGACACATTTTGTTGCCTGGGGAAGCCTGTGGTAAAGCAAGAACGGGTGTTGAAGTGTTGGCGCTGCATAGTATCCTCGATCGTACGTGGGTGCCATGTGTTGGGCATGCTTGCTCCCATGGTCCGCGCTTCGCCCAGAAAGAGCATGAAAGAGCGACATGTCCCAGCCCAAAAGCATGAACTGGTTGATGGATTGAGGCTGGCGAGGTCTAATTTCAAGTATTTAAGGCGGTGGCGGCAGCAGGTTGTGCTCCGTTGCAATATTTTGTGCCGGAGTGATTGAGCTTCTCCCATGGTCCCAGGTCAAGTTTTTGCTTTCTTTGGCAAACCGGCAAGGTGCGGCCACTTGCCATGTAATCGTGCGCGCTTCAGGCAGCCCGCGTAAGCTCCAGGAAAGTGTGTGTGTTTGGCTCTGAAGTATCTGTGCGATGATGTGCTTGGCAGCATGCCCCCTTTCTTTAAGTTTGCACCCTATACGCGCAAACAAGAATGGGCTCGCCGGAAAACAGGGGTCACGGTTTGGGACACGCACCTTGCTTACACACACACACACACGCAAAAGCGTTAGGACAACCTACTCATTTTAGATGATCCGTTGGCCAATGCAGTTGAACCCTTTGGCAAGTGTGTTTGTGTGCACGTTTGAATGGAACACCACATGGCGGCGCGATACACAGGTGGCAGCTCGCCATGTGGCACGCATTGTCACGCGCACGTCATACTGTGTATGCAAGCTAACCAAACGGCACCACACACAAGCACGCGATAACTCTTTTATCCGAGCAGTGTGTTGGTGCCAGGGACTCATCTTCCCCTGTCAGATGACAAAGGCTGGGTGGGTCCCATGGGCCACCCAACTCACAATCTCAAAAACTGAAGAACGGGTGTGCAGACTGAAGCGCCCGCCCCTGAGCCGGGGCCCGTGGCACCCAGGCCACAGGGGGGTCTGCCACCAGGGGAAGTGAGTCACCAACCGGCTCCGGTCACGGGAGCATGGGTGGGCCCACGCTGAGATCAAATGCATCTCCATTCAGGAGACGCGGGGGAAAAATGGACTCCTCACAGAGTTCCTGCTTGGGGACCCTTTGCAAAGGGTCGAACCCAGAGAAATCTGGGTGCGTCAGCTCATCAGCCCATTGATTGAATTCACGGGGCACGTGGTTGGCCGCCAGCGAGCAGCCATGGGTGTGGAGCAGGAAGACCAGCTCCATCAGGATCGCCGCCGTGTAGGGCTTCTTGGATCCAAGGTTGAGCATCGCCATGACGTTGCCCTGATTGTCACTGCCCACCGGGAGTCGGACCCGGGAGGACAGAGGGCCTTGGTGCGTGAGGATCATGTTACAGAGGAAGAGCGTGCCCAGCATCTCCAGAGCTGCAATCCTCCGCTTTGGATCCCCATTCTTGAAAGCCCAAGGGTACTCCTCCACGTGGATCTGCTCATGGAACCAGTACACCTCCTTCTTGTCCGGTTCCACTTTGTTGGAGCACCAACCTCCCACAAATGCCAGTCCGTCGTCCGAGGCGCTAGCATCGCTGCAACCCCACCAAGAGGACTTCGGCAAGTAAGGGGAGTACTGGACGAAAGGCGTGTTGAAGAGGAACCGCAGCATGAACGCCAGCATCCTGACCACCTTGGGGGGTTTCCCCACCGTGGTGGTGGCCATCTTCCAGGCCCAAAGTGGCTGGAGCATCGACTTCGCCAGCGGACATGCAGCCGTTGCCCATTGGATGCGACCCAGGGCCTTCTCGATGTCCTTTGAGTGCATCGCCTGCCCTTCCACCATGGTCTGCAAAACCTCCATAACCAGGATGTGTTTGTTGGCTGCCATGAGAACCTGCGGGATGTTCGGGTGGACCACGAAGCCCAGCCACGTGTTAACCTCCGCCAAATGCGTCTTCTTCCAGCTAAGCGGGGTGCCCAAGGCCAGGAGTGTGGCCAGCAGCGCCACCGCCAAGTTTACCGCCCCCTCGCTTCGAAGCAGCCACAGGAAGTCATCGACGAAGACGAAGTTCCAATCCACTTGAGGGAAAAGTGCGTAGAGGACCCTGAGCAGAAGGGCTGCCAGGCGTCCCCAGTAGGATTGGGCACTGGCCATGCCATATGTGCCTACCTTGTTCACCCACCATTCTTCCCCCAGTGAGGCCACTTGGAACCGCCAGTCTTGCCCTCCACAATGAGCAGGTTGTAAGTGACGCCGTCCGCCTCGTAGGTAGCCGAGGGTGCCTGGAAGGGGACAAACTCCTTGCCCGGGCAGACCCAGCATTGGTTGGCTGCCTCCGGCCACCCCGTGCCGCATGCCTTACACATGAATTTGTAGTCTGAGTGGCCGGCATCGAGTCTGTGCATCCGCTGGGTGCCAATGCACGCCTTATTCCTCTGGAACTGTGAGGCCCAGACCTCCTCCTGCCGGATCTGGATCTTCATCGGAACATAGGCCTCCAGGATGCGAATCACCAAGTCCTCCGTGAGATTCTTCCCGACAAACTTGTGGAACAGGGAGACAGCCTCCTCCACCGTGACGTCCGGCCGCCGATGCCGGAAGGACCGGGAAGAGGTCTGGGAGGTCCACTAACTTGAAGTAGCCAGGACGGCCCTCCACCGGCACCAGGGAGACCGGTTTGTTCACCGGGGCCGTGGTCTTCTGGGAAGCCGCCACGAAGCCCTTCAGCCTCTTCGTTGGTGGAGTAGCCCGCTCTGTGGCGTCCGCATCGCCCATCTCCTTGTCCTCGTCCTCGGCGGGGCCAGGGGCACCCAGACCGGAAGTCGGTGTGGAGAAGGCCAACCGGAGCCGCTCCAGAGCACTGGAGAGGTCGTTCATCACGTCGGTGGCCGATGCCGACGGGGGGGCCTCGGGCTCATCCAACACCAGGCCGGCCGCCACTGCCGCCTCGCGTGTGCGGATTTCCTGGGCCTCCTGGCTGGCCATTTCCACCTCCTCCGCGGTGAGCGTCTGGTCCTCAATCAACTCGAAGGAAGTTGCCGAAGTTGCCGAGGAGGCCATTGCTGGTTCGGGGTTAGTTCGGAAGTGTTTCACCTCAAATTGTTCACACAAGTTGGGTTCAGAGAACCCAAGAGCAAAGCTTGAGCCAAAATGGCCGGGGCCATTATGGTCAAGCATTTCAGACACAGTTCATGTTTCCACATGCGTTTCAACATTAACAAATTGTCAACAAACGTTCCTGCCGCTTGCTTCAGGCTGACAAGTACGCAACGCGTCATGAAGAGTCCAGCACATCAAAAAAAGCGAAGGCGAGGATGCCCGGCCTTTAGAAGGTGTGTGATCTTTCATGGAATCTATTCTCAGTCAGGAAGATTTAACAACCAATTTTCACCACGCAGCAGCTTCGAGGCCCGTGCTGGAGCCAAGTTGCAAAAAACTCAGGCAAAATGCCGGTAGTCGGTTGATTCGGTGCATGCAGAGCTGTTACTGCAAAAATGAGCTTCCGACCCCAAAATAATTGGTTCAACCAAGAAAATGACGGAACCAAAAAAAACAAGGGAACCAAACAAAAGTACTACATTTACCCCTCTAGGTACTGTCCCTACCGAAAGCACATTCAGCAATGAAACGGATCATGGCTTCAGCGACCCTGAGACGCAACATGTGTTTTGCTAACAACAACTGCCAAGCTAGACCTAGTCATGAGTATAGCGGGCACCAGACATGTTTTGTTTGCCTTTCAAGGATGGCTCCCCTGTTAGCGGCTGTGGCGGTAAAAAGAATACGCCGCTTGACCGAAAAAGTCCTGAACAAAGGGGGTCGTCGGTCATTGAATACTTTTAGATGCGACCCCGCCTGCTCTCACCGTCAGGTCCGCACATCTTGTCAATGATGTCCGCCAAATCCTTGAGGAACGAAACAGGGAAGGGGGTGACGCTTGATTGTTGGCACCTCGAACAAGTGATCCACCTGCAACAGGTGGGGTTCTCCATTCTGCCAGGACAACGTAGCCTTGTGTGGTGAATGGCCCAGCAACGGACTCAAGCAAAGAACAAACAACTGCTCATCGATGATAGATGCCGTACCCTGGCCAGCCTGCAAACTCTGCGCAATATCCGCTGCAAATTGCTTTCCTCTGGCAGGGCCAAACCGCATAACATGTCGTAAAGATTTGTGAGAGACTCGAGTTGCCTCTGCCTTGCACAGGCAATAAGCATTGACCAATGCAAACCCTCACCCATGGCTGGTCTAAATTTAGCGTCTCTCAAGAAAAGTCCCCCCCCAAGCAGCTCTTCGCAGCTCCAATCCAATCCGCAACTTCTTTTCTGAGCCTGCACAAACGGCTTCGACGCACAGCGAGCTTGCGGGAGGGTCCAGGTCCAACCTCTTTCCCGATAGCAGTGGTTGGCAACTTGCCGGGGCGCCAACGGGTTCATCCTACCTCGTTCCTTACGCACTTTTCGGTACGTGCTCAGGTTTTCTCGAAACAAACCAGTACAGCTGACAACCATCAATAGAGGACAGCAGCTTTATCCTGACTCATCATCGAATCTGAGCCGAACATGCAGGAATGAGTAATTCGCAGTGGCAAACTCGAAGCCAGAAATGAGCTAACACGATGCAAACTGAGAAGCAACCCCAGCTCTGGGCATCAAATGGAAAGGTCCAGCTGGATTCCCCAGTGGTCGCTCAGTTCGCTGCCGCGGGGCTGTGTGACAAGCGAGGCATTCTTGCAATTGACATGGGCGAAATCCACGTTGTCCCAGCGGTCAATCGCCAGTTGCCAGTCAATTCGAACATGCGAATCCCACATCACCAAGCCATTCTCGCGACTTGTGTATGTGGCACCTGGCCGAGAGCCAGAAGTGCGGCAAAACTCGCCATAAAGGTCCCGAGAAGCACGGTCTCGGACCTTCCCCCCGGCCAAAAGACCAGAAACTGCACCCGTGATCCCGTTCGGAGGGGTGGCGGTTCCGAGACGCTCGCGGACGGCAGCTGCCAACGGATCGCTCCCGTTGACCTCGGTGTTGAGATCACCAACCAACAAGACCGAAGTTCTGGCAGCACCAACCGACGGGTCGACGAATTTGGGGTTCTGCAGCACCTTGCTGATGAATGTGGCAAGCTCAGCAGACTGCCGCTCGATCGCGGAGTTTGTGTTCATCGGATCGAAGTGGGTGTTGATGACGACCAGACGTTTCGAAAGGTCATTCTGGAGGACGTCGAAACACACGGCATTCGCACCCTTCTTTGACTTGGTATTACTGAACGAGTACGTCATCCACATGGACGAAACAATCCCGACAGGCGTGGGCTTGAAATGCCCCCCGCAACCTTCTCGACGAGAAGTCTCTGCGTCTGCATGGGGAATGTCCACGCTTGTCTTCCTGTAAGCCATCCACAGGCCACCCCGGCGGTTGATGTACTGCACAGCAGCGTCCACAAGGCTACCCATCCCCCACGCTTTGCAGTACTGGAGCACCTCGTGAGTCCCAGCGATGGGGGCCTCGACCTGGGCCATCGCGGCACCCCACATCTCCTGCAGCACGGCGACGTCAACTTCGTTCCCGGCAATCAGTCGACCGATGCCGGCGCCGCGTACTTCCTGCTGCTGGCACGACTGGTTGTCGGCGTTCACGAACATCGAAGGGATGAGATATGCATTCAGGGCGAGAACACGAACATCAACCGCCATATTGTGATCTTGATCGAAAGGGCAAAGGGATATCAAGCGAGCTGTTTGGACTGTGCGCAATACCACAACTTTGTTGTTCCGAGCTTCTGCAAGCTCAACTAACAGCACAACTGTCGGTCAACACGATACGTCCAGCAAACACACACGTTCAGCAAATAAGCAGCCAAGGTGTGACTGGGACCATGAACTGCATGGCTTGCAGATCAAATACAATACATATATTCATAGTGGTTGGATGCTGCGCCTGCTTTTCACACAATCCACATAGGATAAATATGTATTTATACATACACACCAACGTTTGACCCATTTGGAGGGTAAATGTGGGTAAGAATCCACCGCACCCGCCCCGCCCGCCGAAACATCGCCGACCTCCAGTGTTGAGATCGAGGCGCCAGAGAGACAATCTCATCCTCCAGGGGTGACGAGCGAACGGAACTCAACCTCAACCCCCGAATTTGTGCGCCCCAAAATGGATACGCTGCGGATGTCCTTCAGATCTCACTTTGCAACCACCAGCCAGTAAAGCTACGCATGCTCAAAAGGGCTGAAGCGGCTGGTTTTTGCGAATAACAAGGAAGGGTGGACAAGAAACGGAGTCCGCAATGAGGAACCCCCTTTTTGGATGCAACAGGAAAAGCCTGATTGGGAGGTTCCAGTTTTTACTCAAGTTCATTTTTTGCACATTGCAACATCTAATTATTCAAACATCCACTCTTTCGGGCTCATCCTTTTGAAGGTGAGCAACACACTTGCCTCGGCAGCTTTCTTGAAACCAGGTCACTGGGAGGGGAACCATCACGTGGCGCTGCCAGCCGCAGAAATTTCCTGTTCACCGGGCCCATTGGTCCCAACATCATAGCTGCTAGATGTCCACATTGCAGGTTCCCCGGTACTGGTGGGAATTGATTCCCTGAAAAGAGTTTATTCGCCGAAAATCAATGCCCGTGGGACTGGTTGGTCCGGTTCGTCCTGCTGGCCTCCGTTCCCCTTTTTAACCAAGGTTTATTCCGGGTCGCCTCAACAAGAATAGACTTGAAACAAAAACAACACCCACCTTAGACAAGGGTGGGCCGGTTGGGCCGCTTGATCACACCGGCCGAAGATCCGAAGATCGGACAAAACAAAACATGAAGAAAAAAGCACGGCCCTTGGAAGAAAAGAGGAGGAACAAAAACAAGCTCCCATGCTTGATTCGGGGCCTTTTGGCCTACGGATAGGTCTGCGGACCCCGAGGATCGGCCTCCAAGACGCTGAGGTTCTCGAAGGGCAGGGCGTCGAAGAGCGCGCGGTGCAGCTCCTTGAGCTGGGCCTCGCTGGGCTTCTCCTGATGGGCCGGGGGGGGGGAGGTGGGATGGGGGGTGGGGTGGGGTTGGGGGTGGGGTGGGGTTGGGGGTGGGGTGGGGTGGGGGGAGGTGGGGGAGGTGGGATGGGAGCCGAGGGTTCTTACATCTTCAAACATCGCTTTCAGGCCCGCAACAGGATTCTCCGAAGTCGCCCTGAAACACGGACGCTTTTCTTAAATTGTGCGGCGTTGCCACAGCAAGTCTGACTTGTTGCTGACCACTAAGATTTGTGCTCCAGAAAATACACAACCTGGCAACCTGGGACGTCATTCAGTGAAATCACTGTGGTCGTAGTATCGGTTGCCAAGATGCTTTGCGGCCTGCCAAACCTTGACGTCATCGCGACCACTTCGGAATTGTTCATGGTTCTGACTTTCTGCGATACTGCGGATGGACAAAATCCACCAGTTGGGATGGATGAAGCCAATATGAACCACCTACGAGTACCAACTGGTGCAGGATTTTGTCCATCCGCAGTACCAGGGTGGGCATCCCCATGCTTTAAATTTCACCCGAGAGGAGATTCCACCCAAGCCTGACATACAAAAAAAAAGAAGAAGCGGCCCGCCGCCTTGGCCGCCACGATTCCCGTCGGTTCTCGCATCGCGCATCGCATCGCGCATCGCATCGCGCATCGCTCGTCCTTGAGCAGCGGGGCCCGGATGGCGCAGCGCCGCTGCAGGCGCAGCAGCTGCTTCTCGTCGAGCTGCAAATCCACCAGACGTTGGTACGAGGGCGCCATGGCGGCCGGGGATCGGAGCGAAGGATCGGAGCGATCCCGCCAAAATCGAGCGATGGGAACGAAGGGGCGGAACATGGGAAAAACTCGAGAAAAACACATGTGGCACAAAGCGAAAAGCAAAGGGTGAAACGGAAATCCAAGTTGAATCGATGGCAAGTGGCCTTGCTCTAGATAACATTGACTTTGCACACCCATCGTAAGGAACTTTGGAACTCTTTGCCCGGGAACACAGCGGATCTGAATGAATCCCGCAACTGAAACTGCCGCGGTGAGTTTCGGCGGACGGGCTGCTGTCTCCAACTCTGGGTAGCCCAAGTTCAACCCTAGTACCCCATACCGCAACCACGCAGTTGGGGCTTGCGACCCGGCAGATTGCAGCTCCGACCATCGGCCAAAGGCTGACCAAGCCCTCAGATACACCCAAATTGCAGCCATCTGGACCGTCATCCCCTGGCCCACATCTTGGGTACACTGAAAATGTTGTTCTGACTCCGTTCCATACTTCGTCAACCCTACAATGTGAACAGTAATGAAGACCCCAGATCCATTGAACATTCTGAGCGCGAACGAAAGTACGAACGAAACATGTAGCGTGAAAATCCGAGTTCAAGGTTCCCCACATGTTTCCCCGGCCATCACCCCGATCCCCAGGATGAACCTCGCCAAACGCAACCAAAAAGGCGAGTTGAAGACCGCACGACGAGGAAAGCATAGGGACGGTCGGGAACCAGAGAACCCGAAGGGTGAGTCCTTTTGCAGTGGGCGCTCGGGTGTGCTCTTGCTCGGGTTGGTCACATGGACGCAATCCAGAAAAACTCGGCTTCGGTGTTCCTTCGACTTCCCGACCCGAGTTCCCTCCAGCTCTTGAACCCACCTTCAACCCAACTTTCCCTGTCCCACAACCCAAAAAACAAACACCAGCACTTCCCCTTTGGCGTCGTCCTCTGGACTTGACCAAAGCTGCGTCCCCGGACAAAAACCGCCCAACCGCCAATCCAAAAGGCCGGCGCCGCGTGGCCCGGAGGCCCTTGGCAGCCCAGCCACCATACCTTGGAAGCTGCGAAGTGGGGCCATGGGGCACCTGCGTCCCTTTGTTTGGTTGTCGAGTCATACTCCTATTGTCACTGCTTGATATAGCTGAGATTTATACGATTTATCTTCTCACTAAGTTTGACATTACATATATATATATATATAATATATATATATATGGTGATTGGTGTATTCGAATAGAAGGTATGTGCCAAATGGGTTTGTGAGTTGCCGTGAGCTTACAGAAACTATGAGTTGGTCAAAGAACCATCTCTACTCCAAACGCCAGGATGGTACCAACCTAGTGCCTTCCTACGGTTTGGTGAGGCCAACTCGGGCCGTTCTGCGGGTGTTCCCACACGTGTTTCTGCCGGTCGATCTGTGGACCTCATACTAAGAAAGAGTTGAGAGTCTGCATTGACGGCATTCAGGAACGTTTGCAGGTTCAACATGTGGGTCATGGTCTGAGGTCGGTGTGTGCCTTGTATGATGGAAAGGGATTGGGAAACCAAGCTTCCTTTGGAAAACCGAGTTGCCTTCTGAATGACGATGCCACTCACACATATGTCATAGCAACCAGCGGTTATGTTCCTTCAAAAGCAACTGCGAAAAAACACCCGAAGCAAAACAAAGTCGCACATGTACATTCTTTGAACAATCGGGACACTGCAAGTTTCGTTCGATCATGCAAAATGCCTGTTTGCCGTTTTACATTGCTTTTTGTCATGAACAAAGACGCGTAATATCAGTCATTAGCTGCCATGATCCACAAACAAGTTAAGGCCTATGACACGGCTCTACTAACACAGGCTCTGATCCACGAAAAAGCGCAGCAAAAGGTGGCGGATGGACGTGCTCCATTTTCCGGCGCTGCGCGCGTTTTTCGCGGGCTGGCCTCACAGAGTCAGGATCTCGTTCCTCAGCGCATGGCGGGGGCTGGCAGTTGCCCAGTTGCCCGGAAGTACAAGGCGATCACCTTTTGGCCACCAAAAATGGGAACACAAACAGGAGGAACTCAAAGATAATTTCAGGGCGATTTTGGGCAGGTCAAGGTCGGAAAGGGGCCTTTCTTTTCGGGGGGTGGGGGTGCCCTTTCACCCAAAGCCTGCGCGCAAATCCGAGTTCAGGAATGACCTTCATGGAAGTTCGAGGTGAGCTCGCGATTGCCGAAAGCAAGAGCAAGAACAGGAAAACCCAAGCAAGGTGGCACGGCGGCCCCCCCCCCTCTCTTTCGGGGATACAAAACCCGACTGAAGATCTGAAGATATCAAAATCAGTCGAAGGATTCGACATTGCAGCTCAGACTCTGAACCGCCCGGCTGTCGCTTCCGAAGTCGGGGTCCCCCCAGGTCACCAAAGACCCGTCCTCGACAAGACTGGCGCTTGGAAATGGACACCTGCGAGAACCGCCAGGAAACCAGACACCGTTCGGAAGCCCAAAGAAAAAAAGAAAACCAACATGGAACCCCAAAGGAAACCCCAAACATCGTTTCCCAAATTCGCGGCGCCGATTTCGATTTGGCATCCTCCTTGATGGCAGCAAAGGCTGCCTTAGAGGCTTGGATCTGTTGGACATCCGTCAGCTGCTCGCGCACCCTGCGGCTGTCACCGCCGTAGTCCCGGTGGCCCCAAGTCACCACCGTGCCATCCGCCTGAGGATCGTCCGATGATCCGCTTCATTGATTTCAGGCTTTAAGGTGTCACCCGGGCAAAAGAATACCAGTCATGTCATGACCTTCCTTACACCAAGCTGCACAGCCACACGAAGTGGCCATCTCCCCTCATTTCCCATTTGGGTAGGTGTCAAATTAGGGGACCCCCAACAAATGCGTATCTTCTGGTTTCCCTTTCAGCCCCACAAACACCACGAGCCCGTGTCCCCTTCGTGGCCTTAATGGCGGCGAAGGCGTTCTCCGTCGCTTGGATCCGCGTCACGCCGCGGAGCTCCTCCTTCGCGTTGCCGCCCGAGTCCCAGTCGCCCCAGGCCACCACGGCGCCGTCGTGCCTCAAAGCCGCGAAGGCGCCGTAGCTGGCCTGGACGTGCTGAATGCGGGTCAGGGGCACTTGCACCTCGGCCAAGGCAATCCTCTGGTCTCGAAAGAAGCAGATGACTCTTGGGGCTCAAAGGAAACTTCACAAGTGAAGCGACTTCTTGTGTCAAGAGGACCTAATTTGTGGGTTTGGGAACTCGAAGAGTTTGCGCAACCTGAGCCGCCTGGTGGCAGCTGCCCCCATGGTCCGAATTGCCCCAGGCGACCACCGAGCCATCAGCTTTCACAGCGGCAAAGGCCTGGCCGCTGCCCTGGATCTGCTGGACCGAGGTCAGCTGGTCCTGCACCAGGCTGCTGTCACCGCCGTGGTCTGGACTGCCCCAGGTCACCACGGAAGCATCCTGGCGACCGGACAACGGAAAGCCGTCAACGGAAAATCAAGCAAACCGCCCTTTGAAAGGGGCAAGGGCGGTTGTTGCGACCCCCCCCATTGTTTACAGCCCAACCACCAAAACATTCATTCATTCACCCTTCATTGCGGCGCACGCTCGGCGGCAGCAGAGCGGTGCGCGAGTCCGGTCAACTCAGCGCAGTGGCCGAGAGAGGTCATTCGAAGACCTAATCGGCCTAGCCGAAGTAAAATCCAGGATCCTGGCGTTGATCGCCCCAAAGGAATCCTGGGAAAAAGGCATGCAGCAACCGGCCTGGGGTGGTCCTATATTGAGTCTCCGGGTTTCACCGATGTCCAATGCAAAAAGATCGGAAACACCACGAAGAACAGCACGAACAAGACGGATGTCACTAGCCAAGGAGGCATGGACATCAGCACCCGGTGGAACATCACAAAGGTCCCTCCAGCTTTCTCCGGTGCCGGAGGCGGTCGCAATTGCAAAGGGGATGCCTTTGATTCGTGCAAAAACGGCAATCGCAATCTCAAGCCAGGAGACGCAGTGGCTAGTGTCAGCATCTTGTTGGTCTCTCAGGAAAAACTCGAGAAGGCCGCAAACAAAATTGGTTCCAAAACGAAGTAGGGATGAACTCCTGACTGTTTCGCGCCACTCAGAAGGTAGCCGAGAGGTCCAGCAGAGGGGCGAGGGCAACCTGGGGATCTCGAGGGGCTCTTCCAGGTCACCACTTGTGGAAGTGCGAGAAGCCTTCTGCAAGGTCAAGTTGGAACCGAAGCATGGTGCCAAATTGGTCAGCCGACCTCTTTTCTTCCCTAATGAAGTTTGTCCAGCTTCTCTCAAACCCAGATGGAAGTTGGGTTCGAGCAAGGCCTGCGGCATAGTCGGCTTGTCCGTTCCAAAGCGCAAGCCACTCATCAACCGGGTTGTCGCAGCTGGTGGGGTCGGTGTGTCCTGGAATGTGGTGGATCTGGATGGAGGCATTGGTGGCAAGTTGAAGCGTGTCCGCAATCTGACTCCAGAGGTCAATGTTGGTGCCAGAGGTGTAGTCTGAGTGTGGGATCGCGAGGTGGAGGGATGGCTGGATCCGCCAGATTCCCTGAACTGAGGTCGCGGAGTCAGACCATATATGTCCACGGTGTTGGCCGGCCTGGAGCCATTTGATACCCTGCCGGAGCCAGTGCGCGTGCTGCGCGGCCTTGAGGCCGCTAAAACGGCGGCCGACGCTGTGCAGGGCGAGCCGTCTGCAAAGCTCATGAGGGGCTTGGCATCGGAAATCGCGGCGGCGGCCGAGGCGGCGGAGGCGGTCCGAGCAGCTGCCGCAAAGCCGGCGGAGCGCCGGCGAGTGAGGCAAGCTGCTGGTGAGGATTGGTGAACTTTCGGCCTGAGAGGCACTGGTGGGCTGGCGCTAGGACTTATCCAACTGTAGACACCGGCAAAGGCCTTGCCTGAGGACTGACCAGTGAGTCGGAAAAAGGGGCGGCAGGCGACGCTAGGCCAAGAAACAGGACTTCTAGGTTAAACGGAGCGCCAAGTTGTTTCTCGGAAGAAAGAAAGAAAAGACATGCGCAGCCGTTGCCAGTTCTAAATCTGCCGCCTCGCCGCCATGTCGGGGCCTTGCTTCAACTTCCACGTCCTCCGGGCTGCAGAGGAGCCGGAGCAGCTAGAGGAAGAGACCAGGAGTGAGGCAGTTGAGGAGATTGTGGACGCTGATGGAGAGGCAAAGAACACGGAGCCCGAATATCTCCGCTGGCGGGCAGCGCAGGTCTTGGACTATTACGCACGCCTGGGAGGCGCGCGCCGGTGGAGCGAGGGGGCCCCTCCGTTTCAGCAGGACCTCCCGCTCCGGGCCTACGTTGCCAAGACGCGACAGTGGCTGCAAACCGCCCTGTTGGAGGACAGCAATCCGGCGTCAGAGGGCGTCTTGGACCTTCTGGCAGAGGAGATGCTTCAATGGCTCAGCGCTGCTCATTGGCGCGAGGACACAACTGGCCAGGAGGAAGCTGAGGCGGCGCCAGCGCCGCCGCCCCAAAGACGCCGCATCCGGCAGAAGCGGCCGGCGCTGCCGCATGAGCCCCAGCACATCCGCGCAGAGGCGGCGATCTGCGAAGACGACCAGATTGAGAGGGCCTTGGCAGAAATGGAGCGAGCCCCTGCGGGACGAGTTGAGAAGAAGGCTACTCCGCAAAAGAAGCCCGCGGCGCAAGGCGGCCGCCCTTGCCACGGCCGCGGCCGTGGCTGGCCATGCATCTACAGCCCGCAAACGCTCGGACGGCCCGGCAGCTGCAAGAGCAGCAGCAGGGGCGCCGACAGCAGATGCATCTTTTGCAGCGACGCCCGCATGGACAGAGCCTGCAGCTTGCCCAGAGGCCGGAGCGTAGTCCTTGGCAGTACAGCTCCGCCCGGGTGCTGCCTTGACGAATGCCTGGCAGTAGTCCTTGCGCAAGAACTTGGCCATGGGTAGCCGAGACCACTGCCCAGCTGGACAGGGCTGTTGACGGGTTCTTTGGCGTAGCGCAGGAGCCGTCCGTGAACAAGTGGATGGTCTGGTCCGAGTCAGTGAAAAAGTTGAACTTCGGGGGCAGGTAGGAGAGCTGGTGCAGATATTCATGAACTTCAGCAGCATGTGGGTTGCAGGCTACAAGTAGTCGTTCCCGGAGGCATACTGGAGCATGATCATATAGGGCAACAGCAGCTGGATGTTGGTGTTGGATTGTTTCTGCCTGGGGACAGTGCAGGCTTCGGTGCAAGATGGAGTCTGGGGCAGCATGTGGCTGCCATGGCGACACAGCTGAGTGAGCATCCTTCTGGGTAGCCTCTCGTCGAATGAAGTGGCTCCCCGATGGCCCGATGGAGTGGCGAAGTTTGAACCTTCGGGCAAAGGTGTCCAGGAAGCGATGCCAAGCCGAAAGGCAGGGTCGCGGAAGGCCCAAGTGCAGGAGGAGGTGGTGGATGTGGCGACATGGCCGACCAGGGGTGTAGGCACCGTGGGATTTCTTGTGCTTCACGGCCAGGAAGGAAGCCAAATGTGCGTCCATCAATTTGACGGCCAATGGAGCGCAGGATTGCTCTTGCCCTTGTGCTCGACCAGGAGCGGTAGGTTGTCGCGAGCACAATAATGGGTCTATATTGTGCTACTGTTTCAGCATTGGAGACTTTGGCGACGGGATGTGCAAAGCCTTGTGGGAGCTGCTCAGGCCAGTCCGCTCCAGCTTCAATGTCCATCAGCAGCTGGAAGAATTGGGTCCGTAGTGCATCCGGAAGGTGCCGCAGATCCTCACCTCAAATGCCATCTGGGCCGCGTGCGGAGTGTTTCTTGAAGCGTCTGAATGAGGCTCTCCAGCTGGACTCAGTCAGGGGAGGGAGTTCAAGAATGCGTTGTGGGATGTATGCTCTGGTAAAAGCGACAACCCGCTCCCAGACCTCGGGAGGGATCTCGGTTTGTTGCTTCCACCTGTCGCTCCAGAAGGTGGAGAGCTCGTCGTGGATGGTGTCGGGGTCAAAGTGGGTGATTTTCTGGGTGAGCTCGTGTTTTGGTATGAGGAGGTGGTCGGAGTGGACCTGCATGGTGTCCCCTTCTTGGTTGTCGATGGTGACCGGAAGGCCGTTCATGGACCAATGAGCCTCCGTGTGCGGAGCGATTGGAGCGTCCGTCTGAATGTGGTCTCCAGTATCTGAGACCCCAATGATGGTGGCAGTCCAGTGCTGCATGGGAGTCTCCTTTGACCGATTTGAAGGCAAGCTGCTGGTAGCGGGCCTTGATGAGTTTGCCGCGCTGACGGTGGTGCCAGCTTTCAAGGGCCCTGAAGTTGTGTTGGAAATCCTGGAAGAGGATCTCGATAGTCGCCCGAGATGGGACTGTCTCTCAGCGGGTGCACCCTGACTGCGATGTGGACGGGTGAGCCACCAGGTGGCGAATCCAGATTGGAAGCCCGCTGCTTGCTTGATGGCTTGCCAAAGCTCGAGTTGGTGTCCAAGGTGTGTGGGGGAAGTGCCCCCGGATCTCAGGGAGTGTAGAAGACTCTGAAGTCTGCGTAGTTGTTTAAACCATTTGAGAATGGAGTGGTTGATGGTGTCCGAGCTGAGTTGTATCTCTCCAGGTCTGCGGGGGCGGACCGAGAGTTGCTGAGTGAGGCGCTTGATGGGTTTGAGCCGTTGTCCACGCCCTTTACTGGTAGCAGGGAGTGGAGGTAGTCCGTGTGCATGGAATGTGGAGCTGGCATAGTTCTCGATCTGGCTCCCAAGGTCCGTTGGGCATAGCAGGAAGTTGGTAGCTCGTAGCTGTGGTTTTCCATGTGTCTGGAGCAAGCTGGCCCCATGGAATTGGGCCTGGCATAGGCCAAGTGAAGGTGGCCGAGAGAGAGTCGGGCAGGATGAAATCGGCCCTGATCGTGGCATGGTCCGCGAAGTCCTGTTTGACTTGGCAGGCCCGGAAGTAGCCCGCAAGTTCCGGGGAAAGGTAGAGCCGATCGGGTCGAGTTTGTCCTCGGTAAGTGGGGAATGGTGGTTGCCCGGTGAGCTGGTGGTGTAGTTCCTGGGCTTCAACCCAACCACACTGCTTCCAGATGTGGATGGCCGCAAGCTTGTCCTCGCTGACATTGAAGTCGCCGGCCACGAACCTCAGGCCTTGACGGCCTAGGATGAGTTCATGGGTCAAGTGGTCGATGAGTGTGTTGGTGTGGGCGCATGCCAATGGCCAGGATGGCGAGGATGGCCAACCATATAGGTTGGCTCCGGTGATGGTGTGCTTGCCGCATCTGAATTGGGAGACTTGGACTCGGCCCAGTGAGTACTGGGAGTCCGGCCAGGACAGCTTGTAAGGGGCTGCTGGCATGTCGGAGAACTGCATGACTCCAGCCCAGACTCCTGCTGTGCTGGATCTCGGTTGCAGGGGGACAGGAGCTCCAAAGAGTAGGCGGAGATGCCGTTGTTGGTCACGTGCCCGGGCTTGGCGCATAGGGGGCCGCTAGATGTGTCTCAGCGATGTTCCAGATGCCATAGGGCAGGTCCATGAGGTAGTCAGCTTTCCCGATGACTCCACTTGGGTTTGCCGTGCCGATGGTGAGTGAAGGCTCGGGATGGTTGGCTTCTCCGACCCGGGTGGCGCAAAGGGGGGGGGGCCAGGGAGCCCTCCAGAGGCAAACCACCTTGACAGACCCGACCCAAGAATGCGACTGTGCGCACAGGGGTAGAAGAGCCGGGCAAGGTCCGAACAAGGTGATGGCGCCTCAAACTGAGTTGGAGTCCACGTGTGCGAGCCATGTGGCTCAAGTCGGCCGAGTGAGGATGGGGAGTAGATGTCAGCGCACCCAATGCTGCCATCCGCGTTTCCCCAGGTGCCAGTGTGTGTCCCAGCTGGGATGTCGGTGTGGAGCGTCCCAAAGGCATCTGCTCCTTGTGCTTCAGTACAAAGAAGAGTCATAAAAAGTGCGAGAATCCGGGACAGTGAAGTCCCACGTTGGTGCTTCACCCAGCCTGCACCAAGGCTAGGCCTCTGTTGACGTAGTCAATCCGAGCGGGCCTTCTTTGAAAGAAGGGCTGCAAGACGCTGGAATCCACTGGACATGTCTTCTCGGAGGTCATGTCCTTGCTGGGTCATGTGGGACTGGACTTTGTGAAGTAAGAGCGGTGCAAGGGATCCTGGCGAGGATATTCCAGCTGGCAGCCTGGCCTGGTTCAGACCTGTTGTTGCTAGGTCCAGACCATTGTCGTCCCCAGATGTCCAAGAGGACTTTCTCGAGGTTGTCTTCCTCGACAGGTGGGTGGTACTTGGGGCATGAATTGCCACAGGCACGGATGCGGCACAGGGTCAGGATCGGCTGTGCTGCTAGGAGGGCTTTGACAGGCCCCTCCTTGAGGGTGTTCCAGTCTCCTGGCCATTGATCCCGGAAGATGGTGATCTTGATCGTTTGCGTCTTGATGGGTTCTGCATCAAGGTCGGCATGTGGGAGGACCCGCTGAATGTGGGTGCTGCTGAGCTGTACCAGGCTCCCCTGTATGAGGACTGGTTCCTGGGTGTCGATGTGCTTGGCTGGGAGATGACAAGCATCCCACGTTGTTCGTGGGGGATGGGACGGGTAGTAAGCACGGCGAGTGGCTCTCCAATCGTGATGCTTTGTTTCAGGTAGGGGGAGCTCGGCAATGGTGGTGAAGGCTATGCCTTTTGAGTCAGGGCCTATGGACGAGAAGGGGATCTGCTCAATTGGCTGATGGTCCTCAGAGGCGAAGTGACCTGGTAGAAGGCAGAGTTCTTCACTAGAGAAGGTCAGTGGTGCGCTTGGCGGCTGGGGCCTCTTGTCCTTGGTCTTCCTGCGGTTGGAGCGCCTTGAGGGCAGCCCGCTGGTTGGTTTTGCCAAGAGCATCAGCAAGTCCGAGCTTGTTGATGGCCTGTTGGGCCCGTTGGGGTCTCTGTCCTGGCACTCCTTTGGAACGGAGGAGTTGGACTAGCTGGTGCTCGACGTGATCTCCCCCCGCTGCTGGTCCGCGGGCGGAGTGATGCCCAAGGTCGTTGAGAGTGGCAGCGAGGAGTTCGTTGTGCTGCTGGAGGATGTCTACCTCATCAAGGTTGTGGGTGTAGTTGAGGAGAATCAGGATGTGGAGAAGGGCGATGGTGCCACAGGTGTGGTCATGCTGCTGTCTCAAGTAGGATCAAGGGTTGATGGAGACGCAGGGCATGTTCCAAAGTTGTGCAAGCCGTCTAGCGAGGGTGTGCCCTCCTGGCAGGGCCCGTCCTGGGAGTCCATCGAAGATGTAGGCGTGGAAGCCGTTCGCAGGGCTGGTTGTGCAAAGCAGCACCGCCCAGTGTCCATCGTAGTCAAAGATGGCAATTGTGTCCATGTAGTAGTCCGGGTTGTAGCATTCCTCCACGACTCGTCGCGAATCAATTGGGTTGAGGTATTGGACGGGAGTGCCTCCGACATGGTCATGCTGGTAGAGGATGTGGCTCATCGCCAAGTTGATGTGGGCGTCAGACAGTCCAAGCTGTCCAGTTCCGCCTGCTGTGATGGCGCCGATGCCCCTCAGCCTGAGGTCGGAGTAGATCCGTGTGTCCTTGTGGACGAATTGGCCATCCTCGAGGTAGAGAGACCAGGTCACGTTGTTGGGCTCAATCCTATGGCCTCAAAGGGGCTGCTGCTTGGATCTGAGTCCAGTAGGGCGTGTAGTTGAAGATGACAAGGATGTTGACCTGGACTGGTAGAGGTGGGTGCTCAGGGCCTAGTGGAAGCAGCTGATATGGACCGTAGTAGCCCCTCTGTTGAAGGACTGAGTCTGCAGGAAGTTGCCATCGAAGAGGCCAACCGGGCAGCCGAGGAGGTTGGTTTCAGCTTCAGCCGTCAGGAGGTCTCTCACGTCCTGAAGTCCTTCTCTGATAAAGTGGATGGGGGCTTGGTTTTGGTTGTAGAGCTCGATTGCCTGGGTGCTGTGCGAGGCGTCGTCAATCCAGTTGTGGTGCTTGCGGAAGAGGAGGTCCTTGTAGCTCCTGATGAGTTGCAGGGGTTGACAGGGAGGTCCAATGTGCCAGAAATATTGGACTGCCTGGATCAGATGTGAGACGACCCAAAGTGCCTGAAGTGGGGCCGCAATCTGGCCAATCAGGCAAAGCCCGTCCCTCGCTGTTCCTGGGAAGATGTAGCCGTGCTGGACCGTGTTGATGAGTGCTGCTTCCTGGACATGCAGGAATCTGGGCTGATTGAGCACCTGCGAGATGACGTAGAATCCTCTCAGTCCTGCATGTAAAAGACGCTCTTCTCGAAATGGACGGCTTCTGCAGCCGCATGGGCAGTCTTTGAGCGAGTGGCTGTAGGAGTGGAGTATGGTAGGGCACGAGGAGGTCGTGGAAAGTAGTCGGGTGTCGTCTCCATAGGCCGGGTTGTGCATGTAGCTGAGCTCCAGGTGGGTGAGCTGCAGTTGCTGTTCTTCCTCTCTAGGCCAGAGTGGCCAGCTTGGGATGATGTCCTGTACCTGTTGAGGATCTTCAGCATGGGGCCAGGCTTGAAGGTCTGAGAGGTCCAGAAAGGCTGGGGCTACTAGGGCCCACCATCGGTCCCTTCCGCATGGCCATTGGTGGTGCAAGGAAAGTTGGACGGTGCGTACCTGGTACCCCATCATGTTGGCCAGTGTGTTGAGACCTTCTGTGATGAAGGGGAAGCGGGCCACATTTGCCACGCACTCAAGGATGAGAGTGGAGGACTGAGCACTCCCCAAAAGGTGGCGCTGCGAGGATCTTGGTGACCCAAGCGATCCCCCTGCGTTGAGAAGGGCTGACAGGGGAATCCTGCTGCAAGCAGGGATTTCCGTGCATTGTCCATGCCGTGCAACTTCTCCACGTCCTGGTAGTTGTTGATGTCGCCGTGGATGACCCCCTTGGCGTCGTTGAGCTTGAGCGTGTTGCAGCAGTACTCATTTGCGTCCAGGTGGGCAATGGCCGAGATGCCCAACTGGTTAAGGCCCATGGCGATGCCTCCCATGCCTGCGCAGGCCTCCCGAAAGCGCCAGAAGGCACCAGCATCCAGTGAGGCATGCGGGTACCAGCCTGAGTGTTCGTCCAGCGAGCACTTGAGGAGGTCGCCGGAGTCCTTGGTGATCTGGCCTCTGTAGACCGTGATGAGGTCCCCCTGCAAGAAGAGGTCGAAGGGGGCCAGGAGAGCCATATCAAAACCACATGCCACGGCCCTCACGAGGGAGCCCTCTGTGTCCTCGCTGCGGCGGAGGAGCCCTGTCCAGGTGTGACCGGCTTCAGGAGGACGGAGTCCGAGCCGCACTGCCATGGGCGAATCTCCCGATCTTCAGCTGTCGTGGATCCACCACTGACAGGCACTCGGGCCGAGATCTCCCAACCACCAAAACAAAAACGAAAGGGTGGTTGGTGCCCTTGAATTAATTTGGAATAGAACCTGCCTCCAGAATGGCTGCGAAGGCCCGGCGAGTTGCCTGAATCTGTTGCACCCGCACCAGCTGCTCCCGCACCTGCGTGGTTCAGAGTCAATTGTTGTACCTTGTCAGCGGCTATTTCCGCACCTGGACGAGTTAAAGACATGTTTCAATGGGGATTCTATGGTGGTCGGCGGACAAGTGGACCATTTAAGAAAGTTGTCTCTAAGTGAAACCGGCTTCTGGATGAGGTTGGCTTGGGTTTGCTTCTCCAGACCGCTTACGCCGTGGCAGATTTATAGGCTTTACTATCCATACCAGGTAGGATCCGAACCACCTCTCACCCTTGGGTGGGTTTCGCTTCTGGGTGCGCCTGGCTGCTGTCGCCTCCCCGTGCAGGATCGCCCCAGGTCACCACGGACCCGTCGTCTTTGATGGCCGCAAAGGCGGCGCGGGAAGACTGGATCTGCCGGACACGCACCAACTGCTCCGCCACCTGGGCGCCGAGTTTTGGGGAGGGTACCCTTGTTGCCATAAGCGGGGAGTCAGTCCAAAACAAGCCACCGACGTTGGCAATCCTTCGACTCGTTTCGCGCGTTTGGGGATGGCGGTCTCAAAAAGAAGCGGTCCATTCTGGGGGTCGAGACCCCCGAGATTCCGGAATACGGGGGCGGAATTGGTGTCCAAAAAAACGAGCGGGGTCCGAAATGTTAATGGTTTGAACCTAGGGCTCCCAAAGCATATTTCCAACCAGCTCGCCCGCCCAAAATGGCCCAAAAAAGGTACATCTCTCAAACCACAAGTCTCGTATGGTGACTTGGGTGTTCGATTCGCCAAGTTAGTAAGTTGTAACGGTGACCGTGCGGTAACCCACTTAGCTGGCCATTGCTCCTAGCCATTTACTCATCAACCCCCAAATCAAACAAGCATTTACTCGAAGTCGACCAACCATTTGCCCACTTGATCCCCGGCAACCTCTGCTCATTTCCTCGTCAAATTTCGGCCAAAGCTTCATAGAAATCCAAAAGACTGTTCTCCGAGGAATACATGAACCTTGGCCCAAACGTCCTTATATAGCCTACTTTAAAATATACACATAATTGTGGAAACCTCACTCTTTGAAGTATAAACCCCAAAATCCCTCCCAAACATCGTCCGAACATCTCAAACATCATCCAACTGGGTCCATTGAAGCGACATCCTCAAAAGTACAGGGAAGCAACCGGCACGCAAAGGTAAATTTGAGACCCCTTACCCCAACACCAACAATTCCCCGCCCCAACAATCCAACCTAAGAAACCACTTTGACTTTGGACGGTCAAAGCCAGCAGCAACACCTCATTTCTTTTGCCGGGGGGGGGGGGAATAAACAGACCCCCACCTAGATAGCCAAGTTGCTGCTTTTTCAGTCATGTTGCTGGTTTTTTGGGTACAGTGCATGGAAAAAAGCGATCGCAACTGGCGATCCAGGCACCTTTCAGACAAAACACAAGAAACACAAGCAAGCAGAAACACGAGAAACATTTAATTTCTTTTTGGGGAAGGGGTGAACCAAACAGACCCCACCTTTCAGACCTCAGCCAGACCCCGCCTGGGTGCTGTGCGCCCCGTACTCCGCATTGCCCCAGGTGATCACCGAGCCATCTGCGGTGATGGCGGCGAAGGCTAGACCCGTGGCCTGCAGCGCGTGCACGTCGTTCAGCTGCACCTGCCCCATGTGCCAATCAACTGCTCGAGCCGAAGCTGGTTTGCGGGTGCTTCGAGTAGGTGCAAATAGGGATTGGGTACGCATTTAAAAAAAAAATAGGGATTGCAACATTCGGGCATGTCTCGAAATAAAGAAACGCCCCGGAAATGGTTTTCGGTTTTCCCTAGGCCAACCAAAAACTGGGGGCACCCTTCGCCTCAAACACAACAAGACCCAGGACCCACACCTCGCTGCTGTCGCCACCGCAGTCCGAGTTGCCCCATGTCACCACAGAGCCGTCCTCCTTGAGCGCTGCAAAGGCACTCTCCGTCGAGTGGATCTGCCGGACCCCTTTTGTCAGCTGCTCCTGTACCTGGTGAACTTTCGTCGACGGCACACCCTAAAAACCGGCTGGTGCAGATAAACCCCCACCGAATTTTGGGGGTACCCTTTTTGGGGGAAAACCAAAGCAAAGACCGAAATCCAATGGGTCCCCTATTTCACACCCACCTGGCTGCTGTCGCCTCCATAGTCCGGATCGCCCCAGGTCACCACCGAGCCATCCTCCCGAATGGCAGCAAACGCAGCTCGCGTCGCCGAGATCTGCTGCACCCGCACCAGCTGCTTTCGCACCTGGCTGCTGTCCCCGCCACACTTGGCCTCGCCCCAGGTCACCGCTCTGCTGCCTCCCACATAAAGGGCGAAGGCCCCGAAAGTGGCCACCAGCCGCGCATGTTGCGCGATCGCAGCGACGGCATCCCCGTCCTTAGTTTGGACACAGCCGAAAATCACTTCTGAAGAGACCGGTGAGGGCAGGGAACCTCTCGCCGCTTGAAACCCACCATGGCTCTAAGTCCCAAGTGCGTGCTACCCTAAGAGTCCTGGAGCTGGGTAGCGCAGATTTCGGGGGACCCCAAGTTGCTTTCGGGGTGTAAAAAGCACATGTTCTGAGGCCTCAATTTCATCAGGAATGTTAGGGCAAGCTAAAACAATGGCTGCTAATCACTTTCAAAGTACCCTGCACCCTTCAGAGCCACTCTTGTCAAACAGACGAACCCCCTGACACAAACCAAACCGGTTGCTTCCGTCACTCAAACAATCCAGCCAAATAAGAAGCCGTGTCAACTCCTTTCAGAGCAGCTTGTCCCCGCAGCTTCCGACAACTTGAAGCCCCAAGTCCCACTCCAAAATTCACAAAGGGCCCAGGGTAGCAGGGAGCCTCCCCACCCACCTCTCCTTCTCCCAAGCGAGCGGCCTTCAACCCCGCCTGGCTCAAGCTGGCACTCGGGTCCAGGCGCTGGCCCAGGACCAGCCTCGCTCCGGGGTTTGCAGTGGATGAAAAGCTCAGGATTGTTCTTGCACAGAAAATGGATCTTAAGGATCAAATCACCAATGGATCACGGATTCAAAAAAGCTGGATTGGTTTTCCAATGGATCACAAGTCACCACACGGCTTCAAGGTCGAGAACACAAGACTTCAGACCAAATAAGCGCGCTGGTTTGCGCACCTCAAGTCACGAGACAACTTCAAGCCAGAAGGGCTTGACGGCAACTTCAAACCAGGTTCTCGGTTTGACTCTCCCCTGTACCCGTTCCCCAAACCCTAGGTTGACGGGTCTCAAAATCCCAAAGGTCCCCCTCCCACCAAAAGGGCTAACACGCAAAAAAATGTTCCATCAAAACTCGGTGGGGCATGGAGCCACCGGAGCCAGCCACTCGCCGTCCGCCGCCGTCCGAGGCGCGTCAAAAAGCGGCGCTTCAGCTGCCGCTGCGCCGCTTCCTTGAGCTCCGCCACCGAGGCCTCGGCGCCCAAGGCCACGGAGCAGCTGGCGCCGCTGGGCAGAGACACCTCCACCTGAGGAAGTGGGCAGGTGTGGTGGGGAGGAAAGGAACAAAACGTATGTACCTATAATACGCCACCAGGAGAAGTGGGCAGGGAAGGAGGGGAAAAACATATATTTCAAGGATATAGTGTCCATAGTATATGCTCATAAACCGCAATACTAGTTTACATAACATATATGGTGACCATGTTTCGACGACTTCCTATTTCATATGGATGATATACACCTCGGGCGGGAAGGGCGGAAGGGAGGAACTGGGAGTGAGCCAAAGCCAGGGGTGGGGGGATTTTGAAAGAGTGGCTTGGTTCCCAAGGTGCCTCAGTTCGGGGAGTTAGTAACCAAAAGGGGGGGAGGTGATGAACAGGATACAGCTTGCAAGGCCCGAAACAACACGTGCTGCCCCAAAAGGCCCGCATTTCTTGGGGAACAAGGGGAGGAACTAGAGTCGCACAGATTGTAAGTTGTTAGCTAGACACCCAAGCAATGGTTGTAAGGGGGCGCCTACAACAAACAATGTTCCGTCCCCCCGGAGGAATACCTTTCCTACCGTTTCGTTCCCAGCAGTGACGCTCTTAAGGGAAAGTTGGCAACTGGAAGGGTCTTGGAACGACTGAAACAGCGTTGCACTGAGGCTTTAAGGCACACAGCGAAATCAACAAGCCTAGCTTTCCGCAAAGACTACACCAAAGAGGCGAAAGTTCAAGGTAGCAGAACGAAAGCGGGAAAACCAGCAGAGATGAATCCAACAAAAACCAAAACTTGTGAGAAAATGTTGGCTTTCCACGAAGCTGCTTGGATGACATTCACCTCCGTGTTGGGCGCAATGCGGGACCTGGACTGTCGGCCTCCCATTGACCAAAAGGCGCGGTTGGTCACATGGCGCTGGAGTGCTGCTTGGCTATGGCTTGCGTTGTGAGCATTTGGGTCTGTTTTTTGCTGGTACCCGTTTTGCGGGGGTTTTCAGGGACACCACAAGGAAACAGCCCATTGTGGGGGCACACCCATTCTGCACTAACAAGGTAGTGCTGTGGGCTTGCTATGTTTGGTTTTGTGGAAGCCACTTGGGTAATGCTGGCCTTGCACTTTCAGAGGTTCCTGGTGGACCAGCATTTAAAAAATCTGAAGGATTGAGGTCCGCCAACTTTGAGGGTGTGCCCACCGTGAAACGTTCATTTCCGCAAACGGCTTGCAACTCAACAGCTAGCTGAGCGAGGACATCCAGTAAGGTACGTGGAACCTACAAGCCATGTACATTGCCAGGGCCACAAGCAACCTTGGCCGCGCAATGCTTGCAACGGCTGGGTCGATTGATTGCTCTGCGGGGGCGTCCATATTTCTGCAGCCAGAAACAGTCTCATGCCCCGAAATACTGGGCAGCGAGGATTTCCAATCCCCCACTGTCCCATCTAGTGCATTCCACGGGGAAGTGTGATGCTTGTGATGAAAGGCTTCCAGTACCCCTTTCTTGCACTGATCTTTTGTGGGTCCTTCTTTTTCTCCGCACAATATGGTGGGTCTAAGCTAAGCATCATCACTTTAGGCCATTGTCAATTCATCTTCCTTTGCGATGATGTTTAAAGTGTACAGGGGATATCTAGGGACCTCTGGCCAGTTGATGGAAGATGCTGAGCCCCAATCAGGAAGTGGGCGTGCATACTTTTGTGTGTGGCCCACGTGTCCCTGATAGCCATGCACCTGAGTGGAAATAATCCTGTGGGTTGCCAAGATCACCTATCACTCGCTGACTGGTTGCTGCTTTGAAGGAACCACTGAAAACACAGAAACACTGCCACGGAAAAAGAAATGGGAGGGAGCCCACAAAACCACGAAAAAGGCGGACCAAAAAACAACATAAATGACATGGCACCCAGTATGAGAATCCTCCAGCCGAAAAAAACAAACATCGAAAGAAAGACCCCCCACCCGGCTGAGTGACTGGCATGTACCTGGCCGCTCCCTCTAAGGTTGACATAGTCCTCTGGGCAGCTGGCGGGCGCAGACCCTAGTGACAGCTATGCCTTGCTTGGGGCTCGTCTTTCTCTTGTTTCCTTCCTTTGCTTAAGGGGTATGGTCCAAGGGTCTGGTGGAACATTTACAGGAAACATGTCGAAAAATTAGGAACCCTCTAGGAACACGTAGTATTTTCCTCTGAGTCAGAGCATATCGCCCCAAGAGCAAACTTGAGGACCACTTGACCCGAAGGGTGTGGACACTCATTACCTACGCCCTTGTGCTCTTTTTCAAAACGGGGCCGCCATGTGAGCCATACCCTTGTGCTTCCGTCTGCTCACAAAGCTTGGCGGTTGGTTCGTGTGGTGCAAACTCAAGAGAATTGGCATGACTGAGCTCGCTTCGGCCCCTGATTCCCAAAACTGACCTTGCGATTCCTTCTATTTGCCTATGGTTGCCCTTGAACATGACCCCCCCCCACAACAAATCCGACTTTGAACTAGCCTCTCCAGAGGCTGAAGCCATCCGAAAACGATCTGGAGTCCTCATAAATAGGTTGCAGTCCCTCCTGCCGAATCAACCCCCCCCCCCCCCCCGTGCCGGAGGGCAATTAAGCCAATCGGTGCATGGGATGGAACATAACTCGAAATGCGATTCTCGGATCCTCCAAAATTGGGCTGTTCCCTGTGAATTCCTTTCAACCAAAACCTGAAAAGCGAGAATTACAACTCAAAGAATGGCATAGTCAGCTTCGCAGGCGACCTTGCCGATCCAGCAGCAGCCCAACTTGCCGGAATCCCGAATTAGGTTTGCCCAAGTGAGTCGGAATTTGCTTGGATCAGTTTTGAAGGGTCTCCCAAGAGATTTCCCATTTCAGTAATTGCAGGAACACAGAGAAACAACAACTTTTCTGGTTCGATAGATTCTGAGGACGAGCCATCTAACTTAACCCATTCTCTCTTTCTTGATGTTGACTTTTGCTCCAAAAGACAATTCCCAATGCCTGTCCTATCGGTGATGAGGATCTTCACCTGCAAAGCGAGAGTGGATGAGGTTGGCTTAAGAATCGTGGTGGAAGTGTCCAGAAGGCCCAGATGTGCAACTGCCTGTCTTCCAATGTCTTTCCACCCCCAATAAGTGTGCAGTCTATTTTAGTAGGGAAACCCTCCCCCAAGAAAGGGAGAAAGGGTAAAAGGGCACTCTGGGGGACCTAGGTAATGACACCCCACTTTTAATGGGTCAGAAGGAGACTCCGGGATTCTCTTTGCCAGAGAAGACACAAGAAGGCGACGAGCCTGGAGGCCATGGGACGCAATGCTTTGGGAGTGGAGCGTAGCTTCTTAAGAGCCATAACAGGTACCTGGAGTCTCCTGCTGACCCTTGAAGAGTGGTTCGCAATTACCCAAAATAATGGGGTCATTGACCCATTTCTTAATGGTCATGGAGACTCAGGTAGCAAAGCAAAGCTTGTGGAAGGAGTTGGTATAACAGCCCGACCTGAGACCGTGTTTTATGAGGGTCTGAAACAAGTCTGACACACAGCCCAGAACCAGATCCAGGTGCTCTCTCTCTCTCTCTCTCTCTCTCTCTCTCTCCCTCTCTCTGTCTCTCTTCTCTTTCGTTCTGCGATTCTTTGCAAAGCAGAACTCCCATCCGATCAAAACAAATCTTTCACAGGGCCGGTGAGAGTGGGCCGGCCAGCCAATTTAAACATCCTATTTAAACCAAGAAAAAAACATGTTTTACACTACCTCCCAGCCCAGAAGCCGTAGGATCAACATCCAAATATGGCAACACTAGATTCCCGGTGGCGGACGACTTCTATCTGTTTCGCCTTGAAGTCAGCACCGCCCTTTTCTTTGGCCAGCAAAGCGCAGCTCATTAACCATCATCATTCGGCTACACGGCAAACTGCACGATCATGCTGATCACCTTCTGTTAGTAGTTGGCACGTGCATCCAGCAAGCACTGCACAACTCCCTGATGGCCCTGGCCTGCAGCAACATGCAAGGGTGTGCGGCCTTCATTGTCTACCTGCTCTTTGTCAGCACCGGCATCCAGCAAGCCCTGCACAGCTGCCCGACTGCCCAGCTGCGCAGCAATATGCAATGGTCTAGAGCCCTTGGCGGTCGCTTTCTCTTTGTCAGCACCGGCATCTAACAAGCACTGCGCAACTGCCTCATGGCCCAGGGAAACAGCAACATGCAATGGCGTGCGGCCACCATTGTCTGTCTTGCCAGTGTCAGCACGTGCATCCAGCAAGCACTGCACAACTCCCTGATGGCCGAATGCTGCAGCAATAAGCAATGGTGTGGCACCAGTGTTGTCTGCCTTCTCTTTGTCAGCACCGGCATCTAACAAGCACTGCGCAACTGCCTGATGGCCCAGGGAAGCAGCAAGATGATGCAATGGCGTGCGGCCACCATTGTCTGTCTTGCCAGTGTCAGCACGGGCATCTAGCAAGCACTGCACAATTTGCAAATGGCCGTTTGCAGAAGCGTGATGCAAAGGTGTCCTCTGTCTGTTTCTGTCAGCGGCATTGGGATCAAGAGGCTTCTCCAACAGCTCTAGCACAAGTTCTGCGTCGCCCATTTCCGCCCCTTGCAGCCAGTCCTCTGCTTCACCCGTGTCTTCTTCAACATATTGCCGTACAACAGCCGTCAGGCACTCAGAATTGTCCCACGGAGTCTCTGGCCCCAACTTGCCTATGCCACTAGCTAATGCGAGCTGCCTGAAATTCCGCAAGCGCAATCCTTGCTTGGCCAGTGTCCATGGGAAAACCCCACACACACACAACTACCGTACATGTTGCTGAGTTGGCTTGATGGTTACTGCGGTTTTGGGCGAACACGAAGTAGCCCAGGGAATCAAAGAGGTACACGTGATCCACGAAGTACCAAAAGAACCCAGTCCCAACGCACAATGGTGAAGTTGCTGATGACCAGGTTGAGGGAGTGACAGTTGAAGAAGATCAAGTTTGGGAGGGTTGGAAAACAGGTTACAACAGAAAGTGAAGTTCAGAACCAGGCCCAGGAAGTCCTCGACGACCAGCCACCCACCACCTAACACCGGGCCGCGGCAGCACCAGGACCTTTTCCCGGTGATGACGCAAGCCGCCGTGCTATGGCGGATGCACGCAGATCCGAGGGACCCCTGACGGGAGGTTTAAACTTGAGCCAAACGGCCATTCGGCCGTTTTGCCACATGAAGAAACAACACGTGAACAAAACACACACCCCTCATCCGATATCTGAACGAGAGAAAGGATGCGAGACAGTTGAGTTCACGACGAAAGGATCCAACCAAAAATGCCGGTGTCAACTCAGAGGTGAGCCAAACGGCAGCACCCGGGCCCCAGTTAAAATCCCGCCACCACCCCGAATTGGCGGGGCGACAGGATTATTTGACGAGTGGGCCACATGAGTGAACAAGGACATATTGGAGGAGCCAGACGAAGATTCCTCTCGCGCCGTTCATGCATTGTCATGGGACAGCAACATGTGGAGGGGGGTTTATCTGGATCACCGCGCCTCACTGCATGCCGTAATGTGGTTGGAGGAGTAACCGAGTTGGGAGGAAAAAGGAAAAGGACGTTCCGAAATTGGTGTGAAAAATATCCGGCTACGGCCGGCCCGGCACTTCTAGTGCGGTCACAGCCTCACACAGGATCGCCAGGGGAACCGTCACCAGCGCGCACGGCAGCGGTGCGGGAGGAACACGAACAACGCCGGATCAGCGGTACAGGGCAATGGAGACCATCACCCCCAGCAGTGCCGCATGGGCGAGAGGAGGATCGGCGCGGTCGCGTTTTTCGGCGACACACGTGCCATCCTCGCCCTTCTAAGGCGGATGCTGATTGCGGTACCTGCCTACCACCCTGAACCGGGTTCTTCCCGGTCTCTGGGTGCGTCATCTCTCCGACGTCCACCGCGGTCACCTCGATCGCCTCCTCCATCCCGACGGCGATCCTCACCACCACCCCTACTGTGGTCGCCAGCCGGATGTCGGCGAGGCGGAGGGGGATCTGATTGGTGACGT